TATAGCGAAAACCTCTCCAAAAAAGAAAAAAAAAAAAAAATTAGATCCTGGCTCCAGCAGCTTGAAAAACAAAGCAGGAAAAGAAAAAAGAAAAAATCATGGTGGGTACATACATGTGTGCATGTGCACGTGTGAGTGTGACCAAAAACCCCGAGAAGATGGAGAAATGAAGGTGAAGGGATTGCAGCCACATCCCACTCGGGGATGCTTTCCCCCTTCCCTCTCTTTTTCTCCATCTTTCTGACAAGCGCATGTGTCCTTTGGCAATTAAAAACCATTATTAAAGTGCTTTTAATAGTAAAACCTAACAATATTTCTGAAAGTAAATAGCACGCAAATGATAATTGAAGTCTCTTACAGTGGCCTCCATCCTGTAAGATTTAGCTGTCCTATTCTGGAAACAGGTGTAAGGAAGTTATAGGCCACAGAAAAAACGTTCATAGCAATCCAACCCAATGTATGTAGCGACTAAAAGTGAGTGACTAGCCTTCTACGTATTCTAGATATCTTCGTGTACATTAGCCCTATTAATTTGCTAAATAAAGTTTCATAACCAGGCAATTTTTTAAAGTTAGATCAAGCCAAAGGTGCCAAATTATTCAGCATTTAAGTTAAGCCAACTACCAGAGACAATTTATGCAGACCTTGTTATATTACAGTTGTTTATATAGCCAAATTTGCCATTGGACCCGGACTTCTTTGAAATTAAGATTCATCTAATTCATTATTAAATTCTAGGCACTGGAGAGACATTAGGCGCTCATTAAACATTTGTCAAATTAATAAAAGGTCAATAACCAAAATACGCAGGAACCAGCAGTTAGCCTAATAGCTATGTCGCTGGACTCCCACGTAGTCGATCGCGGTTCGCGTCCTGGACCCGGTGGTTTAAAACTCACGCCGGGCGCGTGTGTGTGCGTGCCCAAGATCCCGAGAGGAGAATGGAAGAGAAGAGATTGCAGCGTGACCATCCCCTCTGGGGGGTGATTTCTCGCTTTCTGTCTCTATGTCTCTCTCTGTCTGTCTGGTGAGCGCACACGCCCTACAGTGAAAACCTCTCCAAAAAAAAAAGAAAAAAAGAAATAACCAAAATACGGGATATCTGTAAGTTGTTAATTTTCTAAATTTCTAAATTATGTTCCTACCTACAAAATGAAAATACTTTTGGTTATGACCGTATAGTCTTAGCCCAGAAATAAAATCTACCCCATCTGATAATACAAAAACAGAAAAAAGATTTTCATTTACCTTAGTAAAGTCAGTTCCTGTGCATTCGATAAATACATTTCGAGTATTTACTGTTATTTTAGAATGATTCCCTGTAACAAACACATAATAACAAACAAACGGTTTCAGAAATATAATTGAACTACAAAGCACAACAAAACAAATTACATTTTAAAGATAAACTGACACCTTCAGGGTAAGAGAATGTACAACTTCTTATTTTAGGCCCTGAGAGCAGGAGAACAAAGATAAGTAATCACAAACTTGTACTCAGCGCACACAATGTGTCAAGCACTGTGCTATGCACTTAACATAGGTTTGTTTCATCTAATCTTCACTATGACATACTGTAGCCAATACAGAATTCAGACAGATTATGCAACTTGACCATTATTACACTTTATTAAGTAGCAAGGTTAAAATTTCATAGTAGACCTGGTTAATTTAAAACTCCATGGCTAACTAATTTTTTTTAAGGCTTTTGCCTTAGGGCAGGTGCGCTCACCAGAGAGAGACAGACAGACAGACACACCCAGTGAGAGGGAAAGTGAGAAATTACCCCTCAGGAGAAATGGACACACCACAATCCCTTCTCCTCCATTCTCCTCCTGGGATCTTGGGCATGCACAAGCATGTACCCAGCGTAATCTTGAAGTCACCCGGTTTGGGACTTGAACCACAGTCAACAATGTGGGAGTCTAGCAACCTAATGGTGATGCCATCTGCTGGTCCCATGGGCTCATGTTCTTAATCACTGTTAGCTACTAGAGTTTAAGATTTCAAAAAAGAGAAGATTCTCCTTCCCATCAAGAATTAGCTAAACCTCCTCCTCGCCTCCAGAAAGGTAAATATCTGCGACTTAGATATCATTAGATTTTGTAAATACATTCAAGTTTCTCATAAAAATAGACTTTAGAAAAAAATTAAGAGAGTAAAATTTACATTAAAAGAAATTAAGAGGGTAAAATTTACATTAGAAGTTTTAGTTTGGGGCCAGCAGGTGGCATGGTGGTTAAGGTGCTGGACTCCCACATGGCTCACCACTGTTCAAGTCCCAGACCTGGTGACTGGAAAATCATGACAGGTGCATGTGTGTATGTGTGTGTATGTGTGTGTCCAAAATCCCAGGAGGAATATAGAGAAGGGACTATGGCATAGCAACTATCCCCTCTGGGGGGAATTTTTCACTTTCCCTCTCATTGTCCCACTCTGGCAAGTGCACACACACTATGGCAAAAACCCTACAAAAGGAGGGGAGGGATACAGCAGATGATATGGTGGTTAAGGCAATGTACTCTGTCATGGCCTACTGTGGTTCAAGTCCTGGACCTGGCAGCATGCATTCTCTCTTTGTTTCTCTCTCTCTCTCTCTCTCATCAAATCAAAAAAGTAATAATAATAATAAAATAAAATAAAATAAAATAATTCTTTTTAAAAAGTGGGGGTATTGGGGGGGGCAGGTTTTTGCTATAGGGCATGTGTGCTAACCAGAAAGACAGAGAGAGAGACAGAGAGACAGAAAGTAAGAAATCATTCCACAGGGGGTATGGCCACATTGCAAACCTTTCTCCTCCATTCTCCTCTCGGCCTT